TTTTTTAGAATCTTTTTTTGGTGGGGTTTGTTTTTTACTGAGGTACAGTCCACATGGTGAGATACACCTTTCTAATATATGGCTCTGGGAGGTAGTGACAAATGTATATGGTTACGCAACCACTACCAAAATCATGATATAGAACATTGCCAACACCCCCAGAAAGTTCTCCTATGACCCTTTGCAGTCAATTCCCAACCCTAGATGCCAGTTCCTGGCAACAGCATGGACTCTGACTTTTCTAGAAGTCACATCAGTGGAATCCTACAGCATGTGGCCTCTTGAGTCTGGCTTACTTCGTCCATGTTGTTGGGTGCATCACTATCTCCTTCCTTTTCATGGCTGAGTAGAGTCTGCTGGATGGATGGACCACAGTTGCTCATCCATTCTCTAGTTGTAGACTTTTTTTTTAATATAAATAATGTGGGGAAAAAGCAGACTTGAGGGGATCTCCTTGGCCACGGAGACTGCTCATCCATGCAATGCTCACCTGTGGTCTGTCCAGAATACCTACCTTCATCGCCCAGCCCCTGCGTGTCTAAACTCCTTTCTTTTCCTTCCAGGCCCTTTACAGCTGCCCTCTCCCCAAAGAGGAGCAAGATTCCCTGTCCCCATGTCACAGATCAATAAAGTGAGGCTCAGAGAAATGCAGCTCTTAATTGCTAGAAGTTCACAGTTGGAGTGCCATAGAGCCAAAACTCAAACCTTGGGCCAAGGGGAGAGGGTTGACAGCCCAAAGGCCAAAGGTAAGCCTCTTTGCAGGCTGTGGAGGTGATGGCAGTTCAGGCCCTCATCCCACCCCCCATCTCAACCCTGAGAATCTGCAAGCATGAGGGTGACAGGGAAGGCACAGGTCCAATCCCATTGTGGGGGAAGGAGGCAGGGGCTATGGAAGATGTCATTCTGGGCTGGCTCCTTCATTGGGACCCTCCCCCCATCCTTCCAGCCTGAGCCTGAACCCTAGGCCAGACCCAATCCCCACTACACAGGCCAACATTACTCACCAGAGCCCAGCATGGCCAAAATGGGACCATCTGGCCCCAATTTCCCATCCTAGGACCCATGCTGGTGGGCGGGTGTGGCAAATTAGGTGATGGACCCCAGCTGTGGGTGGCCTGGGCCCCACCCAGCCACTCAGCCACAGGACAACCAAGGGACCAATACGGGTACTCGTGGAACTCCTGTCACTTGAGATGACCCCCAAGTTACCCTGTGTCCCCAGCCCAGCTCTGCAGATCTGAAGGAGCACCTGGGCAGGGAGTCGTGGAACCTAGCCCACCAGGTGATGGTGACCTTGGCAAGTCTTCTAGGCCTCAGTTTGTCCACCTACAAATGAGAGGCTTAGGGAGGATGCCTGAGAAAGTCTCATCTTGGGACTAAACTTGCTATTTGTCTCTCTAGAGTTGAAGCTCGGGGCCTGGGAGTCTGCATTTTACACCAGGTTCCAGGAGGTCTGTGACTGGTGAGAGAGGGCAAGATCAGCCTCAGTATAGTTCTGCCTCTCCTATTCCCCATTGGGTGCCCAGGCAGCCACACATTAGCAACCCCAGGGAGGCCACAGAGGTGTGGTGGGAGCACACCTGAAGGGACCCATGGGGATGACAGTAGCCTCACCCAGGGTGCAGGGAAGTGGGCAGATTCAAAATTTGCATTGGGATCATAGTGGCCAGAACTCACTAGAGGATTGAGTGCAGCACATGAGAAAAAGAGAAGCATCAGCGATGACATCTGGGTTTGGGGCCATTTGCCAAGATGGGAAAGACGGGGGCAGTGAGGAGTGGTGTGGGTTTGCAGAGACAGGGCAGTGGGACCTGAGGAACGAAGGGGTCCATGTTGGATATTTTTGCCTGAGATGCTTGCTGGAAGTCCACATGGGGATGGGGAGTTGGTGGCACATTGAGGAGAGTAGTCTGGGTGGGAGACGGAGCCAGTGCTGTCAGCACATGGCAGCCCTAGGACCTACAGGAGCACCTGCAACGGGGCCCTGTGCGCTTTGGTATCTGGTCCTGGGTGAAGTTAATAAATCCCTTTTCAGAGCAATACTTTTAAATGTATAAAATGAAAGTATAAGAACATCCAGTGATGTTGCCATTGTAATCAAAATATTAGATATCAAATCGGTGCTATGGTTGTAGCATTACCTAGTGGTGGGTTTGAGAACGTCCATCATTCTGAGGCCATGTTGAGTAAAATAGGCATTTAAGATGCTGTAACAGGAGCACCTGGATGGCTCAGTCAGTGAAGCAGCTGACTTCTGCTCAGGTCATGATCCCGGGGTCCTGGGATGGAGTCCCATGTCAGGCGTTCTCCTTAGCAGGGAGTCTGCTTCTCCCTCTCCCTCTCTCCTCTCTCCCCACCCCACTGCCTCACTCCTACTCATGCTCTCTCTCAAATGAATAAATAAGATCTTAAGGAAAAAAAAAAGATGCTGTAACACTTGCACTATGGTATGGAAATATTGGTGATTTCTATTGGTAATGAAGTTGCAGGATCAGCTGAAAGTGCTATCGTTTGTGGCCTACACTCATAACTGAAGGAAATGACAAACTGCTTACAGGTTAGCAAGCAAGAGTTTTTTCTCACCCAAGTTCGTGGACCCTCTGAATTATCTTTGCAGGCCCTGTGGTCCCCACTAAGAACCCCTGACCTAGGGATAGAACATACATAAAGATGAGAGGCCGGAACTGGGCTCAGAGCCCCTGACATGTAGGATGCTGGTAAAGGAGGAGGCAGAGAGGAGGTAATCGTGGGTAGGAGGACAACTAGGAGAAGGAGCATCTGGGAAGTGCTTCCAGAACTCAGGAGTGACCATCTGACTAAATGCTACTGAGAGGGGAGAGAGTGAGAGGACAATGGACCTCTCTTGTCCAGGAGCCGATGACCAGGCCAGTTGAGAGAAGGCGCTCCCCAGGGCTGGGGAGGCAGGCCGGGGAGTGCAGGATTCAACAGTTTGGGTTATATATATATACTGCTTAAAGATTTATCTATTTGAGAGACTGAGCAGAAGAAAGGGCAGAGGGAAAAGGAGAGGGAGAAGCAGACCCCCGGTCTGAGCTCAGAGCCCAACGCAGGGCTCCTGGGATCGTAACCTGAGCCAAAGGCAGACACTTAACCTTAAGACTGAGCCACCTGGGCGCCCCAGTATGGGCTGTATTTTTTTCTTGAGTGTGGTAAATACACAGACTTCATTATATTATTCCTTGTGCTTTTTTCTATGCATACAGTACACCATAATCATATTGTTAATGTTTTTAGAGGCAAGGGTGGGGCTGGAGGCAAGAAACTGGAGGCAACTTGAAGTTTTGCTGTTGAGGGGACCAGGGAAATTGGAGACGCAGCTGGAAGGACTGTGGGGTCAAAAATTTGTTTTTAGATGGGAGTGGTCGGAGGATGTTTGTGTGTTACAGGGGACGGTGGTGCAGGGGCTGATGGTGCAGAGGAGGGAGGAAGGGGCCAATGTGACAAACACCTGAGAAGCTCCAATAGGCCTGTCTCCCTGGTCCTCAGTCAATTCTGTGACTGCCACCTGAGGGTTCTCACACTTGAGGGAGCATCAGGACTCACTTGAATGGCTAGGTGCCACCCCAGAATTTCTGAGTTAGTAGCTCTGGGGTAGGACCTAGAAATTTGCATTTTTAGCAAGCTCCCCAGGGATGCTGCTGCAAAGGCCACACTTTGAGCACAGCTGCTATAGTCAATACCAGCACCCCCACATGTGCCCCCTCCAGGATCTGGTGTTGCAGTTGTTCCTTCCAAAGCACTGGTGGGAGGAAGGCATGGGAGCAGAGTGTTAAGAAAGAAGAGGGGAAGGGTGCCTGGCGCAGTCGGTTAAGCCTCTGACTCCTGGTTTTGGCTCAGGTTGGGATCTCAGGGTCCTGAAATGAGCCCTGGGCCAGGCTCGGCACTTAGTACGGAGTCCGCTTGAGATTCTCTCTCCCTCTGTCTCTGCCCCTCCCACTTGTGCTCCCCCCCCCTCTCTCTCTCTCTCTCTAAAATAAATAAATCAAACTTAAAAAAAAAAGAAAAGAAAAGATGGCAGAGGGAAGAAGAGCCCAAGGAGGAAACAGCCAGAGCCTGGCCCCCCAGCCAAGTTCACCACCTCTCCCTGGGGAGTGCCCGTCTTCCCAGGAACCCTGGGAGCTGCCCTGTCTGTCAGACCTCCTGGAAGTCTGAGCAAGAGGGCAAGGAAAGGAGCCAGGCCGGGGGCGGGTGCAGAGGGGGATGGCCAGAGGCCAGCATGTGTGCAGAATGGAGAGGGAGTGGAGGGGGGACACCAGCTCTCTGCCTGCGGGCCCTGAGCTCTGAGAACACACTGTTCACCTTTACAACTTGATCCTGGTCTCATGCCAGACCAGCTTCTACTGCTCTTGGGAAAGAGAGCAGCCCTGTCAAAGACATGAATGTTAGCTCGTGGGATCCCAGGACATCTGAACTGAGAGAACCCTTGGAGACTGTCCGGTTCAGCCCGTTTGGCAGATGGAAGAGGCCAGAAAATAGAAAGTCCAGCTTGCTGGATAGACCCACAAACTTTTGTAATGGGCATGACACTGGGGGCTATTCTCTGACCCTTGCAGTTCCCCTTTTCCATCAATTCATTGAACACCTATTTACTGAGTACCCACTGGGCACTAGGCATTGCACTAGACACAGAGGTAAGACCTAGTCTCTGGCTTCACAAAATGGACATTCCAATGGTAAAATGAACAATAGACAATAAATATGTAATACAAAGTTAGAGAGTGATAAGTGGTAGAAAGAGACCTGAAATGACATGAGGGAGGGATGGCGGGAGTTTCCAGGCAGAGGGAATAGCATGTGCAGAGGCCCTGAGGTAGCTGTATGCTTGCCATGTTGGAAGAATGTCACGGAGGCCAATGCATCTGGAGCAGAGTGCAGGAGAGGACTGAGAGAAGAAATTGGAGTGGGAGCAGAAGGCCAGGTCATGGAGGAAGTCTTCCTCCAGGCTCTACCCATGACCCCAGCCCATGGTCTCCCCACAGCTAGAAAGGTACATCCAGATGAACTTGAGGTCAGAGCTGGCACAGGTCCAACAGCACATGGTCCAGAACCAGACGGCCACCATGTTGGAGCTAGGCACGAGCCTCTTGAACCAGACCACCGCCCAGACCCGCAAGCTGACTGACGTGGAGGCTCAGGTACGGAGAGCGAGCAGGTGGCACAGAGGCAGGGGGTTGGGGGGACCTGTGGCCAGCCGGCTGGCTTGCAGCCCAGATCATCTTGCCTTAACCTCTGTCCCTGGGTAAAGTCTGGGCTACATCTGGGACTGTAGCACCCTGGGGCCCCTCCCTGATGACCCCATGACAAAACACTCTGACCCCCCAGCTATGAGCCCTGGGAGGTGCACACTGGGTTTGGTTCTTCTACATCTGTGACTCCAGGGACTCCAGATCTGTGCTGGGCACTGGGATTAGAGGGGGGGATAGGAGGACAGATCCAGTGCTCTGAGGAAAGATGGGTAATGAAGAAGTCAATCAGCCTCAGGGGGCCCGCAGCTCGGAGACAGGGAGCCGTGGGAGCACAGAAGGGGAGGAAGGAAACAAACGTATAAGCAGCAGGGTGAGTAAATGAACAGACGAAAAGATTGAATGACAAATAGGCACGTGTCTCTTGGAGCCCTACTAGGTGCCAGGCACTGTGGGAGGTGCCCGGTTCTAGGTCAGAGCAGTAAATGAAACAGGTCTGCCCACCCTTGAGCATCTTCCTTTCTGATGACCACCAGGAGACTGAATAGGATAAATAACCTGCATCTGTGAGAGGGTGGGAGTCTCAGGGGCCGGAGGGAGGGAATGTGTGCTAGAAGCAGAGAAGGGGTGGCTTGCAAGTTTAGACAGGGAGACCAGGAAGGCACTGCGGGGAAGGTAGAATTGGAGCCAGGCTCACCAGGATGGCCTTCTGGACAGGGAGAGCAGCATGTGCAAAGGCCCAGCAGCAGGACTGTGCCATGAAGCACCAGGAACACCCAGGAGGTCAGTGTAGCTGGAGCGACCAGGGAAGAGGGGTGGGCAAGGGTTCACAGAGGCAGTGAGGGCAGGTGACATCACAGGGTGCTGCAGGCCATGGTGAGGACTGGGACCTTTCCACTGCATGCAGTTGGAGCCACAAGAAGATTCTGAGCAGATGCGCTACATTTTAGAAGGCTGCCTTGGGCTGCTCAGCAGAGGAAGGACTGTAGGGGATCAGGGTGGAGAGAGAGCGCCCTGTGAGAAGGGTGGCATAGGACACAGGGCAAGAGATGACAGAGGCCATGACCAGAGAGGGGACCCTGGAGGGAGGGAGAGTGGTCAGGTGTCCATTTGGAGGCTGGATCTGACAGGACTTGCTGGTAGATTGGATTGGGGTGGGACATGGGTGGTTAGGGGGACTCCTCCTGGGATGTGAGTAGCAGGAAAAATGGACTGCACTGTTGTGTGCAGTGATGGGGAAGAGCAAATTCAAGAGGAAGATCATAAACTCAGTTCAGGCCTGTGAGTGAATGAGTGAATAAAGGAACGAGTATACAAATGAACGACTATAGGAACTAACTGCTGGGAGGATGGCAATAGGTCAGCACGCTGCTGGAATGCCAGAGCCCCTGGGCGGGTGGGCGGCTGCCGAGTGGGGCTCCTGCATGGCCTGCGTAGGCCCCTACCTCTCCCTGTTTGCGGGAACAGGTCCTGAACCAGACATCCCGAATGGAGATCCAGCTGCTGGAGACCTCACTGTCCACCAACAAGCTAGAGAAACAGCTACTACTGCAGGGCCATGAGCTCCACAGGCTGCAGGGCCGCAACAGGTGGGCACCAGGACCCCGGCACCCAGCCGGGGCTGGGGGTGAGGGCCAGCCTGGGACCCAAGTGGGGCAGGACCCAGAGTGGGCACGAGAGCCAGGGCTGGGGTGGGTTGGGGGCCAGGCAGGCACCCCTGGGTGGAGATAGGAGATGGACATTTTCCTGGGGCTCAGGACACACTGATTCTTTCTCTGTTCTCTCTTTCTTTTTCCCTCTTTCCTTCTTCCTTCCTTTCTTTCTTCATTTTATAAATTTTTAACAGCTTTATTGAGCTACAGTTTACATACTGTACAATTCACCCTGTAAATTTTTATTTGATTTACTTATTTGCCAATAAGTAAATCCAATCTTATCCACTGATTCCCTTTCCCAGAAGCAACCACACTGCCAGCTCCTCGTCTGTACTGGCAGAGAGTCTCGGCATTTATAAACAAATACACTTGAGGGGAACACCCTTCAAATTACAAAGAATAAAAGAGTCATGGGGTCCAGATAAGGCAGAGAAATGGCCATCTGAGGCTGATTTCATCTTGGTTTCGAGCTGAGTGAAGAAAAACTGTCCAGGTCAGGGTGCTGGAGGAGGCCAAACCCACACACTGCAGCGGCCACAGGCCTGTGTACAAAGGGAGATGTTATTGTTCCTCACGTGCTGGGTCAAGATAAGGCCTCCAGGCCCACCCAGCTCCCTCTCATCTGCGTGCAGCTAATGATAGTTTGTCCATCTTCTTATTCTTATGCCCTCACCCCAAGGTGGAGGAGGGCAAGGACTGAGGTCTGAAGTGGCACTGGGTGCCTAGAAGTCAGTGAAGACGAAGGATGTCATCAATAAGCTCTTGGCCCATGGAGATAGCTAAAATTCTAGAATCCGAGTGTGTCCCAATTTTTTTCTTCTTACAGTGTAATTTGGGGTTCAGGGGAAATTCCTTCTGCCCTGGCTAGACTTGTTGTTCCAGCCTAGAGAATGGTTTGGCATAACCTCATAGATAGGAGAATGTCTCCCTCCTATCCTACCTGTCAGCCACCCACCGCTTTTCCAAGTTTCTTATGCTCTTCCATTCATTCAACCAACAATCGTTTTTGAGCTCTAACCACATGTCAGACACTGTTCTAAACACGGGGGTTACAGAAGCGGAAAAAATTCCTATCCCATAGCAGACATTCTATTAGCTGACATTTGAGGGTTTCTGCTGAATATCCAAACAAGTATGTATATATGGTCCTTTTTTTCCCCCTTCTTGAATCTAAATGGAGTATACCACGCTCCTGCACCTCTTTTTTTTTCCAAGTATCCTGGAAACTGTTCTATAATTGCAGGACACACTCTAACTGCCTCATGTTCCACCCAATGGCTGTGCCCACATTTACATCCTCAGTCCCCAATTGATGGTTATTAAGGTTGTTTCCTGTCTTTTACTCCTGTTCAATCGAAACCCCTAATAGTGGCTCTGTATCTCGTTGCACACACGGGGCAAATCTGCAGGATAAAATGTCAAAAGTGGAAGAGTTAAGTCAAAAGATTTTTCTTTTTCTAAAACTCTATTTTCAAAACTCATGACAAATATGCTCCATGTTTATTATATCACCAGACAACAGAGACCTGTATAAAACGAAGGGGAAAGTGGGTTCCGTCCAGCCACCTGCATCTTCCTCCGTCCCCATATTCCTCCTCCCTCCCCCGGACCACTCCGCCTGGAAAACAGCACTCAGCGAACTGCCTTTCACTTTCTCTACAAGCGCAGCCATCACTGTGTCCTTCCACACGTCTTTCCATGCCTTCTCGTATCAATTCACTGGTTTCCCTCTCCATTTACATTAATGCCCTTTCTCTCTCTCTCTCTCTCTCTCTCTCTCTCTCTCTCTCTCTCTCTCTCTCTTTCTTTCTCTCTCTTCCCACATGTGGGACTCATAGAGGCACCGATGTGCCAGCACAGTTCACCCCACGTCCTGGGCGTCTTTCCAATTCCGTGCGGATGCGCTAGGCCTCCCTCCTCTTCGCAGCTCCAGAACATTTCCAGGGACACGGAAAGAGAACAGACTCCGCCAGCTCTGACTGTTTGGCATTCGGGCTGGTTCGTTTTTCTCTATTATAACCAATCCCGAGCACTCTCGCCCCTGCTCCCTGGGGGTTATCTCCTGAGAACCGACTGCTAGGTCAGAGGGCAGGCATAGTGGGGATTTGGTAACAAGGTCCTGGTTGCTGGCATATCCTCCCACGCGCATCTCTTTCTTCTATGGGCTGCGGTCCATCTTCTTCCCGGGCCGGATCTCTCTTTTCTCCCCTCCTCACTCTCTGCCATCAGTGGGCACGCCCCACCCCGGATCCCCCACCCCCGACTGTGTAACCCCGGACAGGATGCTCTACGTCCCTGGGCCTCGGTGCGGATCTGTCCTGCAGAGCACCTCCCCGGGGCCCCAGGGGCAAGCGCGCGAGTGTGGCAGCGCGGTGGGGACAGCGGGCTGACGCTCGTGCGCCCCCGTCCCGCAGCGCGCTGGAGACGCGGGTGCAGGCCCTGGAGACGCAGCAGCAGGCGGAGCTGGCTTCTCTCCGCGGCGAGAAGGAGCGGCTTCGGCGTCTGCTGGGCCGCCAGAGCGGCGCCCTCGCCGGCCTCGAGCGCAGCCTGCGCGCCGCCAGCAGCAACTCCAGCCTCCTGCAGCGCCAGCAGCGCCAGCTCCTGGAGTCCGTGCAGCGCCTGGTGCGCGTCGTGGCCCAGGGCCCGGGTGAGCGAGCCGGGCGCCCAGAGCGGTGCGGGAGGAGGGGAGGGGACGGGACGGGAGGGGACGGGAGGGGAGCGGAGGAAGACCCTGTTTACCCTCCTGGCTCGCTTGACCCAGAAACCACTCGGGAAAGGCCCGGGCCCCTCTCCCAGTACCTTACCTGTGAAACAAATATGGTGAGGACGAGAGTCCCAGGAAAAGCCAAGCCAGTCCAGACTCTACCCCAAGACTCCATGAGTGACCTTGAGCATGTCCCCGTCCCTCTCTTGGCCTCAGTTTCCCAATCTATAGAATATAGAGGTTGAACTTGCTGCTCCCCAAGGACTTCTCTCATCCTGTCGCCCTTGTCCCTAAGCCCAGGAGGGCCAAACAGAAGTTAGGAGGCATCTCTGGCTCTAGGTTCTGAGAAGGCAGAAAAATTCCTGGGTCTGCTCCCCAGCGTTCACTGACTCCTTCTGATGGGGCCCACTTGGGGTGGCCAAGACATGGCTGATTTCAGCTTCAGTCACTCGGTCAGCAAAACCCACTGTGTGCCAGGTCCAGTGCCAGGTACTGGAGATACAGCGGTGAACAGCATAGGCTTGCAAAAATGCCCACCTGCCCATCACTGGGTCTCTAAGGGAAGAAGGAGGAAATGTATGTTTTTGAGTGCCTACTCCATACCACTACATGCTTGCAGTGTTCTTGAAATTTCCAGGCCACAGAAGGCCTAAAAGGCTGTGCTGAGGAGAGAGAACATTAACTGGAGGATAGTCAGGAGCCACAGGAGGGTTTTGCACCTAATGGGACTATGTTTTAGGAAGCTCAGTTGGAACCAGGCAGTGGAGAATAGCTAGGTGAGGAAGGGGCTTCTACTCCTGGATCAACCACAGCAGGAGGCTGGGAAGGCTTTAGGTAACACAAAGTCAAGCAACAGTGATGGGTTCCAGGCACTACGGCTGGCAGTGATTTGGGGCCAGTGGATGGCACCAGGGCTCTGTCTAAGTCAGGCAAGCCTCGCTGGGTTAAGGTATTTGAGGCCCCAAGGAAGCTACAGGCAGGAGAAGTGGATACCTTCCAAACCATGAGATATGAAGTGACCCGAATCCATCACTGGCTTATGCATGGCCTTGGCAGTGAAACTGCCAAAATTAGTCCCATGTGTGGGTGTACTGTAGCTCAGCCCCAGATGCAGGCCCAGGCCCAAGGCCTCTCCCCACACACTCCCTGCTAACCCAGTCTCCAGCTGTGACCCAGTGTCTGCTCACCAGTCTGGGTAGGAGGTTGAATTAGGCACCTCGCCTCAGGGACGCTTTGCCCAAACAACCTGTTACCCTGCCCCACTGTCACCAAGGCATTTGAAATTGTGCCTCCTATCCAAGGACTCCTTCATAAGACCTAGAGTGAGGGAAGGCTCTGCCCATGTCCCCAGCTGTGTGCCCTGAGCCAGTTACCTTACTCTTGGACTTTGGTTTCTTGGTCTATGAAAGGGGGAAGTACTTCCTTGGAGTTCAGACCTTAATGACCTCGCCTGGAAGATTCTAGCAGCCTTGTCCATGGCCTCTCTGCTTTGAGTCTCATCCCCTTCAGTACCTGTTCCACACCCTGGCCAGAGTGCTCTTCTTCCGCACAGTCCAGGCTCCTCATCCTGGCATGCAAGGCTGATCTGGCCCTTCTTCAAACGGCCTCATCTCTTCCTCCTTCATGACCCTGCCTGTGCCATCCTTGCCCTACTCCTGTCAAGTTTATGGGCCAGCCAGAGCTCTCTCTAGCCTCAGCTCTGTTCTCATGGGTAGAGGGTAGTTTCTCCTCCCTGGCTTCCACCACTTCCCTTCACTGCACCGTCCCCTGCAAACACCAAGACTGTTCCCCACCTTACAGCCCTTGCACATGCTATTCCCTCTGCTTGGAACATTTTCCCCCTGTCTTAGGTGACTCCTGCTCCTTATCCAGATCCCAGCTCACGGTCACCTCTTCCAGGTAACTTTCCCAGGTTTGATACCTCTCCCTGTCTCCAACACCTCCCATCCAGGAACCTGGCAGGAAGTAGTGCCCACCTGGCACCTTCCCTCCTTAGCTTACCTCTGATTGCTTTTGCTTTGTCCCTTTGCAGCCTCTGTGAGGGCAGCTGAGCAGCTGTTCCAGGATTGTGCAGAGATCCAGCGCTTTGGGGCCAATGCCAGTGGCATCTACACCATCCATGTGGCCAATATGACGGAGCCCAGGAAGGTTAGGGGACTCCCTGGGGGCTGAGGCTATCAGAGGGTGCTGAGCCAAGGGTGTCCCTGGCAGGCCACCCTCCCCCCCGCCACATCGGCTTTTGGCCTTGTTCAGCATCTGAGATACCAGAGAAGGTGGGACGACCCTACCTTTCAGAGCCCCCATCAGTCAGAGGTCAGAATATGGGGGTAAAGCAGAAGTTCCCAGAGGTGCAAGCGCATCCTTCTTCTGCACCTTCTCCAGAGATGCTTGCAGTTGGACGAGCAGAAAATAGTTACGTGTTGCTTAAGGTAATGCTAGTTGATACAGCAAATCAACCCTGAGAATCCAGGGGCTTAACACAAAGAAATGTATTTCTACTTTACATACAGTCTGGTTGAAGGCAGGTGTGGGGGCTCTACTCCATGTGGGAAATTAGGGACCAGGGCTGATATAGACCCTACCATCTCCAGTGAGTGTTTCCAAGGTTGCTCTCAGCTTTGAGGTCCAGTTATTGGATGGATGAGGGGTCAGTGGAAAGCATTCTATCAGAAGGGAAGGTTTGGGGGCCAGGCCCAGAAGTGAAAGAATATGGGGAACAACCAGTCTTCACACTTCCTAATTCCCTGTTCGATTTCCTTTGAATTCCTATGAATACACATCTCAGTTGTTGAATCTCAGTTGAATACACAGTTTGCAGACTCTCCTTAATGCTTAATGCACACCTGCTCAACACATCTTTTGACACAGAGATCAGGCCCTTGATTTCTAGCTAGAGTTTCACGTTTTTCTTATATTTATTTTTATAATTATCTGCATAAAAGCAAGTGTTACCAGCTTTCAATTTATGGTACTGGTAATATTTCCTTTTAAAATACCTTTAGTCTAAGTATTTAAGTTTTCATTTTTTTAAAAGGACACGACTTTTTTTTTAATTTTTATTTATTTATGTATGATAGTCACAGAGAGAGAGAGGCAGAGACACAGGCAGAGGGAGAAGCAGGCTCCATGCACCGGGAGCCCGATGTGGGATTCGATCCCGGGTCTCCAGGATCGCGCCCTGGGCCAAAGGCAAGCGCTAAACCGCTGCGCCACCCAGGGATCCCAGGACACGACTTTTTAAGTAAATATTCTACATGAAATTAAGTAAATTCAGCTACCGTGGAATCCTGGGAGGCCAAAGATCTGGGCTCACACCTCAGCTTTACTTTGGTCTTACTTGCCTTGAGCAAGTTCCTTCTCCTCGCTAGACCTCAGTTTCCCTTCCCACACCCTCTGCTACTTCCACAACAGATGCCACTCTCTTCTCTCCCTGAGTAGGCCTTTGCCTTGTCAGAGCTACACCCTCCACTGGAGGTGCCATTCCACTTGTCTGCCTGTCAGGCACATCATCATCCAAGGCCCTGTCCTAATGTTGCCTCCTCTGAGAAACCCTCTAGGGTTGCCCAGTGACTCCTTCTCTGGGGCTCTCCGTGTAGCTGCCCAAATGTTCATAATCAATAGTCTGTTTGCCCTATCATAGCCTCCTCCAGACCAAGCCAGCTCTGAGGGTTGATTTATCTCTGATTTGTCTCTGTCATCTAGTATGGGACCAGGGGCCAAGTGTGTCCTCACTGAACATGGAACATGTACTGAACTGGCTGGAAAAATAATATGTGACAAAGATTAGGCTGAAAGAAGAGATTATGATGGATGGTGAGCTTTTTGAGAGAAAGACTCTTTCTGTCTTATCCATAGCAGCATCCCCCATGCCTTGATAGATAGCAGGTGCTCAGAAAACTTTTGTCCACTGAATGTAATAACATGTCCTGAGTCCACACTGTGTGTCAAGCGTGTCCTGCCTCTTGGCATTTAATCCTTACCACAACCTCAAAATAATAGTGAGAGAAAAAGCCTCCATTTACTTAATTCTCAGTATGCCCAGGCTCTGTTCTTTAGATGACTCATCTTACATAGGTCTCACATCAAGCCAATTTGCAGAGGAGAAACTGAGGCACAAAGGGGTAAGGTTTTAACACTTGCATTTTACAAATGAGGAAAGGAAGGCTCTGTGCGGGTATCACTTGCTCACACTTTAGAAAACTGATGATAGAACTGGGAAATTTGAACCTGGATATTTCTTATGCCCTCAACCACCAGGCTCACTTGTTGCTCTGTGAGATTGTCAGCCAAATCAAAATTGGGCTGGCCCAGACCTACTTCTGGCCTTTCCAGGGTCTTCCAACTCCCTCCCCTCCACCACCATAACGCAATTCTTTTCAGGTATTCTGTGACATGGAGGCCAATGGAGGTGGGTGGACTCTCATCCAGCGCCGTGAGAATGGCAGCGTGAATTTCCAGCGGAACTGGAGAGATTACAAACAGGTAACACTGCTGCCTTGGGAAGGGGCTTTTAAGCCCTGAAACCTGGGGCAGGTGGGTTGTAGGCAGGGCACTAATTTGCCCTCAACCTTTCCCAGAAAAAAAATCAACCCATCTAAAACCAACTAGCTTCAAACAGGTTTTCCCAGTACACATTCACTGTCAGGGATTCCATGACCTGAAGTTGAACCTTCTTTTTGCAAGTTCTGACATATATCCTAAGAATAAAAATTTAACTTTATTTTTTTATTTGTGGAAATATTATATATACATATTGCTTAAGAATTTCTTTTAGAAATACAAAAATGAAACAGAAGAAAATAATCTCCCATGCCCACCCCTGAGCATTGCTTAAATGATGCCCTTATCTTTGCACACATTAATATCATCACATCTGCAGGAGAGATTCTTTAACGTGGAATTGTTGGCTCAAAGACCCCATGCATTTTAGAAGATGAGGAAGAGTGCCCGATTGTCTTCCAATTTTTTAATTAAATTATGAGTAAAGAGTTTTTGGCAAGCTGACTTAAAAGCTCTTAAGGTTTCTACAAGCAAGAGAAATAGAAAAGGAATCGTGGAAATGCAACAATCTCATTAGTTGTTTCTGCTTACTGTTCATTTGATAAATACTTAAAAATAAATACCAAATTAAGATATGAGTGTTCTTGAACCAGTTAGGTTTTAAATAATTATTAAGAACAGCAAGAAGAAATAGGATACTCAGAAGTATACAAAGAGCACTGAAGATTAATCATTTAGACCAATCAGCAGCACCGCGGGACTAAAATGGGGAGTGGGGCTTAGGTGTGCCCCTGTCCTTGGTGCTGAACCATTGCTCTGGGCATTGGTTTCTCGTCACTCTGGGACACTGGTGACACCTAACGTGCTTAGCCTTGCATTTCTGAGTTGCTGAAATCTTGCAGCAGCTGCCATGTCACTGAACAAAATTTGCTCTGCAATTTATGCAGCTGATTAAAATCTTTAGTTTTTTTATTGAGGTTCGACCTACATGCAGCTAAGTGCACAAATCTTTTTTTTTAATTTATTTATTTATGATAGTCACAGAGAGAGAGAGAGAGAGAGAGAGGGAGAGAGAGAGGCAGAGACACAGGCAGAGGGAGAAGCAGGCTCCATGCACTGGGAGCCCGACGTGGGATTCGATCCCGGGTCTCCAGGATCGCGCCCTGGGCCAAAGGCAGGCGCCAAACCGCTGCGCCACCCAGGGATCCCTAAGTGCACAAATCTTAAGCGTAAGATACTCAGTGGATTTTTACATATGTATTTACCCATGTGACCATCATTCAAAGCTAGATATACAATGCTGTGAGCCCGCACAGAAGTCCCCCTTGTGCCCCCTTGTGCCTCCGCGTGTCCTAGTCAATACTCTCCCAAAGGTAGTTGCTATTCTGACTTCTATCACCGCAAATTCATTTTGCTTGTTCTTAAATTCCACAGAAATGTGATTTCAATTATTGTTAACAGAATTTTACATTTACAAAAACCTTAGTCTTTTTGCTCCATGGGGTGGGGAACTCCCCTTCCTAGGCCTACCCACACTGTACTTTGTGGACTTGGCCATTAGGCAAAGTGGTTTTGGATTAAGTGGCCCTGGAACCTGGCCCAGCCCAGCTCCTCAGCCAGGGGTGCAGCCTCCCATTGCAGCATGAACAACCCCTCCACCACCACCGCCCTTCACTCTCTGCAGGGCTTTGGCGACCTGGCGGGGGAGCACTGGCTGGGCAATGAGGTGGTGCATCGGCTCACCAGCAAGGCAGCCTACTCTCTGCGTGTGGAGCTGCAAGACTGGGAGGGCAACGAGGCCTATGCCCAATATGAACATTTCCAGCTGGGCAGTGAGGGGCAGCTGTACAGGTAGGCTCGGGGCCCAGGCTGGTGGGCGGGCTAGGGTCCCGGGCCAGTGACTGTAGAGTCTGCACCAAGGGTCAGTTCCTGGGCGTCTCCAGTTCCTACCATCTGTCCCCCATTTGGGCACACGTCACGGGATCTGGAGGCGGCTAGTTAACACTCAGCACGTCCTAGCCACTGGGCGGGGTGGAGAGCCTGTCACTGATGCTGCCATCCCAGGAGCAGGAAAGGGCCTTCTAAGGTCAGTCACCCAGAATCAACCATATTACTGAGGCTCAGAGCGAGGAGTCCAGCCTGTCCCACACTGTGGAGTGATATGGAAAGTTCCCCAGGCTGGGAAACAGAGGACCTGCTCATTCTGACTCTGCTCAAGCTTGCTTTGTAAACTTGAGCAAGTCAAGGTTCTGGTTTCTCTGTACCTCTGCTTCTTAACTGCAGGATGAGCTTACATATGAGTATAACATAAAGGTCTCCCACACCTCCCTAGGCTTGATTCTTAGCTCTGTTTAGGAAAAGGAAAGAGCATTTATTGACCTACTATGTTCCAGGCATATTACTCCATTTAGTCCTCCTACAACACTCTGAAGTAAGCATTGCTGTACCTGCTTTAGTGAGGTGGAAATAGGCACAGAGCTTAAGTCTCCTACCCAAAGTTACAAGTAGAATTTGGATTTGAATTCAGATCTCTCTGCCACCAAAACTCAGGGTGTTTCCACTACATGATGTTGCCTCTGAGAAACTCAAGGTTCTTGGAGATAAGACTGAGTCCTGTCTTTGAACAGAAAAGAATTGGAATCAGAGATTCATACTCACAGGTCTGAAAAGGACCTCATGTGTCATCTGGATCTTACTATGATGTTGGAATCTCCTCCACAGCCATAGTCATCATCCAGCCAGGCTGGAATGCCTCCACTGAGAGAGGTCACTTCCTCCAAAGGAATCTCTGGTGGCTCTCTGTCCTCCTACACTTTATGTATAATTCCATCTTGGAGAGCTTTTCAATGATGCATCCCACCCTTCTTTCTTCTTATTAAATGCCCCCAGGTTCCTCCAGCTAAGTTGTCCTGGCATCCTCCTTAGGGGAACCCATCTCAATCTGATAATAGTCCTTAGACTGCAAGGTTCAGAGCTGAATGACCATACCCTGGGTCTGGGCTAGGTGGGGCTAAGCTGGATGCCCCCACTACTCAAGCTGACCAGTGAGTAACCATAACACCCTGCTGACTCCTATTTAAGCTACCAAAGCCAAGGCTTAAGTCCTGACTCCATCCCTATCTCCCTGAGTGACTCTGAAGAAGTGCCTCCACTTTCTCATCTAAAATGGATGCACCAGATGTACCTACCTTATTCAACATGTTATAAAGCTCAAATGAGATACTGCATGTAGAGCATTAACACAGTGTATGGCACTTAGTAAATGCTCAGCAAATAATATTACCATTGCTGTCCCAAGGCAGCCCTTCACACACCTGGCTGGCCTGCTCTGTGTGAGTTCATGGCCATTCTCCTCTCCAGTCCCTGGTTCACACTCCAGTGTGTCCTCTGTGTCTGGGGTGAGCATGTCCACAGGCAATCCCACACTCCTGGGAAGACAGCAGCTGCCTATGGGGAAAGCGCAGGGGCATAGAAATGCTTGTGCGAACAGGGAGGACTCCCTAGAGGAGGTAAGGCCTATAAAGGGTGGGCATCCTCCAGACAAAGAGAGAATGCCTTGAGAAGGGCATCCCAAGCAGAGGGGATGTTTTGGAAAAAGGCAGACAGAGAGTTTCATCCAGCAGGCCACAGATACCACAAACCTGAGCAAGTCTCTTTCAAGATCATAAGGAAGAACTCCCCCCTCGTTCCATAAAAGCTCGGGAGCCTGGGAGTGAAGATCTTGGAAAACACAGGCCTGGAAACTGCCAGAGAAGGGCCAAAGAGAGAGTGACAGAACAGATGCTAGCCCCTGTGCGCACCCCCACCTCCTAGTCAGCTGGCCGGTGAGATGGGGAGGATGCGCACAGGGAAGCCCAGTCAGCACTGGGGTCTGGGCGCCATGGGCATGAGGGGCACCCTTATGTGTCAGACCCAATAATGGGGTCTTCTAGAGCCTGGCTGAGACACACACATTAGCCTGCAAGAGGAAGTGGTCCACAGGAAGAAACTGGCATAAGCACGCAGCCACCAGGCGCACACCCCCCAGAGGTGGCCACACACCCAGATCTGGTTACAAGTGCAAGATTTACACAGAGGTATGTGCACATGCGGGGCTCACCACACCTCTGGGGTGCACGCTTGGGCCTACAGAGTGCATAGATTCACACAAGTACATAGCTGCGCAAACCAGCACAGGCACATGCCCAGACATACATGTAAAGGTGCTTCACAGGTACCAATACACGTAATTCCAGACCCAAACTCAGATTCCAGAGCACACACTCGGAGCTTCCATAGACATTGCTGCACAAACTCAAAACAAACATGCACACGCACACAGGCATGAAGAACTGTTTCCAAATGCTCACAATTATAGACACACAGACCCCAGCCACCAATCCACAGACACATGAAAGCTACTCTTTGTGTGTCTAGCTTAGGAACACCCAGAGACTGTGTGTCTGAGGTCCCCAGGCTTGAGCCATGAACATGTACAGAATGCATCTGAACAATGGGCCACATTGGGCTTCCTGGTCTCCGACTTGAGAATTCCCCAGAGGTCACAAGATCCTCATTGTGGCTCCCACAGGGGAGAGGAAGAGCCTGAGCTGAGGACTTGGAGACAGCAGGGAGGCCCGTGCTGCTAGAATGACCTCACGAGACTGCTCAGCTTCGCCCAGCCCTGATTCCACACACCTCAGCCTAAATGTCATCCCAAACCTCAGTCTGAGCTTCAAGCCTGACCTTGAAGTGCCATCACTGATACCTCAAGGGGAGCCTATAATGACCACAAAGAGAAGCCAGGACTATGTGAGCCAGTGGGCCAATCTACCTGTCCCTATCCCTGGGAACCCCTGGCCAGATGGGCCTTTTTACAGGGAGCCCTGGATTACATGTTTAAGGGCACAGTTAGGGCTTTACAGTTAGGGCACCTGGACCCTGAAGCCATGCCCCTGCCTCACTATAGACAGAGCCCATGGTGGGACGTGCAGGGACTGAGCCAGGCCACAACCCAGGCCCCACATGCCCTCTTGATCCCCCCAGGGGCATCTCCCAGGCCCTGCCCCAGCCGCATCTGATGTCCATTTTTTCCCCATGCAGAGGACCTTCTTTTTTCCAAATCAGGTCCCCACCTCAGCTACCAATGCTACAAGCACCCAACACCCTCTCCAATCAGGAGCAAAAGCCTGTGCCAGCTGTAGCTGTGTGTCAAGAGTGGGAACAAAGGGACGAATGATAAAAAGCATTATATGTGCTGAACATTTACCATGTGCCCGCACTGCTATGGCTCATCACACACTGAGGTCATCGGAACATGATAACCCAACAAATTCATCACTGTTAACATTACTACCATTACTGTTTTAATAAAAGGAGAAACTGAAACTGACAAGTGAAGCAATCCGCCCAAGGTCACACAGCTGGCAAGTGGCAGAGCTGGGATTCGAATCCAGGCATTCTATCCTCAGAGCTCATGGTCATAATTACCATATAGGTTTGGCTGTGCCCACCAGGATCTCATAGCCTGGCAGAGAAATAGAAACCCTCCCCACAGCTGGCTGCAGATGTGCAAGTCACAGGGCTGTGGTTGCCCTGGAGCACAGAGCCATGTAGGTTGGTGTAGTCAGGGAAGGCTTCCTGGAGGTGGTAGGCTGGGGTTGCAGAGTAGTCAGCTAGGAAGCAAAATGCACACAACTCCCAAGGCAGGCCACACTGGGCTGGGATCTGGATCTCACTCTCTTTCATTTTGAGGCCTGGGGCAGCCTCCCTGGGCTCTAGGGATCTCTGTATCTTCACCTGTAAGATGGAAATAATCAGGTGTTGTGAGGATGCCAGGAGCAGGGGCTAACCCACAGAAAGCACTTGGAACAATGCCCAGCACATAGTAGGTGTTCAAAAAACTGTTAACCATTGTCCTCATTATTAGTATTCTCATTTTGATCCTTCTCACTCCTGTCCAAGACTCAGGTTCAGTGAGATGAGGGAGACCTGGCACACAGTGGGTGCTCTGTCCCTGGGAGGCAGCAGGCAGAGAGGGCAATCCAGGGACAGGATACCCCATGCACCTTAGGCTGGAGTACCCCCTCTCAGAACAACTGAAAAAGAGCCCCAGCCTAGGGCCCTCTTGGGGGGGCCATTCTTTAACCAGTCGCAACCTAACTCTGGACCCAACTCCCATCACCACCTCCGGGTGGCCTCCAGGCTTTCTCTGAGCGGGTACAGCGGTTCAGCAGGGCGCCAGAGCAGCCTGGTCCTGCAAGGCACCAACTTCAGCACCCGTGATGCAGACAATGACAACTGCCTCTGCAAGTGTGCCCAGATGCTGTCTGGAGGTGGGTGTGGGGGTCTGAAACCAAGCTTGCCCACAGGTGCACCTGGCTGAACACCCCCATTACCTCCCTACTCAGGTCCCCTACGGCTGGGTGCTGTTGGGAAGAGGGTGCAAGTTGGGGTCTCACCACCTGCATGCTGGCCTGACTGTGCCCCCTCCATCCCTCCCCCCACTGAGTCCTTGAGGTTCCCTCTGGATCGCCCCTCATCCTAACAGAGGCACCACCGATCTTCCTCTGAGACTGGGCTAGGGGGACTCTGAGGCTGGGATGCAATGCCTGATGGGCCCCAACCCCAGGCCTGAGAATCCGTTCCCCAGGCCGAGTGGGACCAGGATGGGGACACCTGGGCTAGGGGCTCAGGTAGTATTCCTTGGGGGGAGGACAGAGGGAGATGGGGATGAGTAGGGGAGACAGAGATAGGAGGAGATACCTCCTGCGACACAGAGACAGGGACAGATGCAGATGAGAGGGACACAGAACAGTGGACACAAAGAGCTCCATAGGGACAGAAGTGCAGAGGGAGAGATGGAGAGGTAAATGCAGACCACAGAGAGACAGATGGACACAGTATGTGAGAGACAGGCCAGGAAAGGCAAGAAAACAGACTACAGAGAGATCCAGACAGACCCCACAGAGACACAGACCCATAGACTCGGGGGGGCCCTCAGGGGGCTGATGCAGAGGCTGCAGGCTGAGCAGAGGCCCTGGGAGTCTCCCAAGGCCATGCCCATCCACTCCGCCCCATCTCCTGCGAGCTGGCCTCCCGGAGGAGGCAGCAGCCCTGATTGTCCCCAGGGTAGGGGGCCGCCTTCAGCCCACTGGCTGGCCCCCACCTCCCCAAGCATCTTCCTCTCCCCGCACCAGGATGGTGGTTTGATGCCTGCGGCCTCTCAAATCTCAACGGCATCTACTACCCAGCTCGCCACCACGTGCGCAAACTCAACGGCATCCGCTGGCACTACTTCCAGGGCCCCAGCTACTCGCTGCGGGCCACTCGCATGATGGTGCGTCCCGTGGGCATCTGACAAGTGGCTGCGCCTGGAGGCTGGACCCATAGGAAGAGGTGGGACTTGGTATCCCCTGGGCAAGCCGGACCCAAACACAGGACACAGTGCCAGGGCGTTGTCCTGGATACCCTGGGTCCCCTGAGCTAGCACTCCTTGCCCAGGAGACAGGAGGTCAGCTGCCCGCTGTTCCCTTCAAGTCGTGAAACAGGGGTAATGGGGGGATCCTGCCTCTACAGTATCCCTCTGTCCTCTTCCCTCTGTCTCCAGCATGGCTACCCTGCCAGCTTGAGGGTCATGATAACCTGAATGAGCTGAGAACATACTCAATTTAGGTCCTCAAAGAAATAGGGAATTAACAGCCCACCCCTCTGAGGCCTCAGTATCTGGAGCTCAGATCAAGTCTTTGGGGGCTTCAGAAAATCTAACAAGGATTTCTTTACCCCTAGCATGTCCTTGAATGTATTCCAGAGAGAATAACTCAGGCTCCCCTTGAAAAGTGAGGGAGGGAAACTCATGGTTAAATCCATATAAACAGGCATTCTTAGCTACAGGACTTGTCAGAGCCTTTAATATAGTGATATGCTTTTTGACCACCTGTGAAGGGGTTAGAGTAGGCAGCTTTCTCCAAGTGTCCTTATTTGAAAACAGGCCCTCTTTATCCCAGAGCATCTCTTGGGGCTGCAGATGCCCTTGGAAAATGTCTGTCAAGTGTGATAAGGAGGAGCCCCATCTCCCCATCTCCCCACCCCCATCTGCACTCAAGAGACACAGTGATGGTCTCAAACAGCCTCTAAAAACAACTGGAAGAAGCTTTGGGTTAAAGAAGACACAAGCCATCCCTGAAGAAGGATCTAGTTTCTGATCTGTGCTATGGGCTGGGGTCCTGCCAGGTTCCTTCTGGCCCTGGAAAGCCAGATCTCCGCCTGGAGATCTGAGACCTTCTCAGCACTCCCTGTAACCCTAGCTCACGTCGGCTCAAGTTCAAGGACTGCTGGATCTGTCCACTCTGCCTTGGGCAGGATGCCCATCTTCAAGTCTAGATCCTTCCGGCCTCCAAGCCAGGACCCTAGCCCTCTTTCCCCATCTGATCCAACAGTCAGCTGGGGGTTCAAGGGAGGTGGGAGCATGGGGCAGAGCCAGCCTTTGCCTGGGCCTGGGAGACCGGGGGCTCCTCACGAGCTTCTTTTGGAGGATAGGGTCAGAGAGGGGCCACGGCCGCTCTCCCGCCACCCCATCACGGTCACCCTCCTCAGTTCGGATGAGGCCAGCACAGTCCTGCCATCTTCAGCCAACACCCAGACCAGCCGAGACCAACCTGCTCTTCCACGAGGGTATGCCTCTGTCTTCAGGAGGTTTTCTCCTGGATGGGGCTGGGGTGGATGGTGGGTGGCTGTCCTTGAGTCCCACCTCAGCCAGGCCCCTGAGCAAAGCCAGTGAGGATTAAGACTGAGCTCTCTGGAAAAAAAAACCAGCCGTGTCGTGCCGTGAGCCAGGCTCTGGAATTGGGCAGACCTGCTCCAGCTCCTGGACTTGAGGCCACTGGCTCAGCCTCTCAAGACCTCAGTTGCCTTGTCTGTGTAGTGGAGATGACGCTCCCTCCTGGCTGCACCATGGCAGGAGACGATGAAACCATGTATGTCAGCTTTGTAACGGGGCTTGGCATGAACAGATGCCTAATAAAGGTTAGTTCCCAAAGAGGGAAATGGAGGGAGGAAATCCACCCCTAGGATGTGCCCCATTTCTTTTGGACCCAGGTAAGGTGAGCACTTATTTTTTAATCCATGGCATTTATGTTTGTACTGCAGAGTTTATCAGCTAGGGGAAAGGAGATGAAGGCGAAGCTGGGAGCCCCAGGGACAGACTCCTCTGGGTGGGATGAAAGCGTAAATCCTGTCTGTACTTGTTTTCTAGAAAAGGCTAGAAGCTGATCTGGGTTACCCTCGGATGCCTGTTCTTAGATATTCATCCTTCATTCCTACCTTCCTTCCTTCTCCATGTCGGGACTCTCCAGCACAAGGGATAGAAACTCTACCTTAAGGAATGGACTGACTCACATACCCAGAAGTCTAGGGGTGGATTCAGGCACAGTTAGATCCAGGGGCTCAAGTGACGTCCCTCTTCACCTCTCAGCCCTGCATCCACGTCGGCTTTATTCTCAGTCAGGTTCTCTCCTGACAGGTGACTCCAGCAGCCTTGGGCTCATGTGCCCCCAGCTAAGCAGAGTTCCCCTGTCCCAGTGATTCCAGCAAAGGCATGAATTTCTCCAGCTGAGACTGGTGCCCATCTCTGTCCTTTTTACTGTGAGTCTGAATGACCAGACCTGGGTCACCCAATCATGCCTTGAACAGGGGTAGGGTCAGTCCCATCCAAGTCCTGTGGACTAGCAGTTCCCAGACACTATTTCCAGACTGGTGATCACTTGTCTTCCTTCCATCTCTCTGACTCCTATTTCCCATCTCCCCACCCCCAAGTCTTGGCTCCAGGCTCCAGCTCACCCCCAGGTTGCCCCCAACTATCAAGGATACAGCTGTGGCCTGTCCAGGGATGCCAGACTCTGGTTCGCTGTCCTGGCTGTGTCCCTGGAGCAGAGTCCCTGGCCCTCTCTGAGCCTGTTTCCCATCTGTGCACTAAGGACAGAGCAACTGCTGGCTTCGAAAAGTCCCCTGACCATGATGCCAACCCACAGCAGCTATGGACAAGACCAGCAGCAGGACTCCAGGCGGCACAGGCCCTTGTGGGGGCACGGCTGGTGGCTTTGGCCCTGGCTGGATCTCTCCGGGTCACTACTCATAGGAACTATCTTCTGGGATACCTGACTCTGCAGGTTCCTATGCAGAATCCTTGTTACCTCTCCCTACACTAGACCAGCCTTCTCCCCATTTTAGTGATGAAGAAATTAGAGCTCAGAGAGGGAAAGGGTTTCATTCAAGGTGGCACAGCTAATCATCACCTCCAGCACACATGCTGCCTCCCTCATCCTGGCCTCTCTGGGGCAATTTGGCACCAACTGCAAAAATACTGGAGTAGGGTCCCCTCCACTTATTTCAAGGATTGAAGGAAATTTCTGGAAAGCTCTCCAAGACCTGTCTGCCTTTACCGCTGGCACCTAATCACATTGTTCCTAAGATCTCTGCATGTCCTCAGCAAAAGCAGTTTCCACACTGGGGGAAGAGCTCACTGTGCCTACCCCAAAACCATAGCCAAGGTAAAAGATGGCCCTTTGCTGGGAGTAGGGGAACAGCCGGCATCAGGATGGTTTGTCTTGCTGGCTGGGGGGATTTGACCCCATTTTCCAGATTTCCCTCCCCCTTGGTGTCTGTGAGAGCTTTCACCTCTCCCATTTAAAGATGCTTCAGAAAGCTAACAGCGTTGTAGCAGCATCTTTGGATGGGGCAGCGCTTCAGAGAATGGAGTCTGTCCAGGCCGTGTCCAGCATAAACGTGTTACTTTCTTGTGTTAGATTAATGTAGGGTCACGCAGTGGAGTTTCTCCTGTGTCCTGAGGTCACCGAAGTCCAATGGCCTTTAGCACTCAACACATTCCTTCCCTACCCCATGAAGACTCTCAGACTCTCCCCGTCTGCACACTGGGGAGACTGGGAGCTAGTGCACAGGGAAATCATGTGGATTCCATGTGATGGTGGACAGCCAGGCCTGGAAAATTAGAATTCAGCCTGGAACATTAGAATTCAGAATGCATGTGAATGCACACATGCATTCATTCACACAGCAAGTAGATGTTGAGGATCTGCCTGGGTCAAGGCCAAGCTTGGTGATTGGGATGGAGCAAACAAGATAGTCCTGTGCTCAGAACTCAACAGGCTAGAGGGAGAGGCTGGCCTACACCAAAATTTTTTTAATTTATAAAGTTAAATTGACAAATTAATATATTGCAAATAAAGAAAACAAACAGGAGGCAGAGACAGATCACAGAGGGTCCAACATCAAGTGATCAAGGAAAGCCCCCTATTGAGGACTAGTACAGTGAGAAAGAGGCAGCCAAGGAAGAGTAGATTCCCTAGGGGGAACAGCAAGTGCAAAGGCCCTGAGGTGATCATGAGGAAATACAAGGGGGCCAGTGTGACTAGAAAGCCACAGTGAGCAAGAGAGAGGGTGCTGGGATAGTGCCCCACCCAGCACCTACATCAGAGATCACTCCCCACCCCAATGCCTGCCAGGGACCGAATCCAGCCACACCTTGCCTGAGTCATTGTGGAGCTGGGGCAAATTCTTGCCCCTCTCTAGACCTCAGTTTCCCGGTAAAATACTGGGAGAGTGATCATCTCTGTCCGAGAGTCATCCATATCCTGTTACTGGATAACTGAGTCAAGAGCCTTATTGTGCCCACTGCCCTACACTGGGTGCCAGTGGGCAAGTCACATGGAGGAAGAGAAAGTAAGGGTCTTGCCCTCAGGCTAAATGGGAAGTTTGAAGTGTGTCCTACACAGAGTCAACTAGGGGGACTAAGGTGGGAACACCAGACACTGACTATATGCTTCCTCCATGCTAGTTTACACGTACCTTCTCTGAATTCTAATGGGTTCTAGTATTACGCATTTTACAGAGGTGGAAACAGAGGCTCAGAGAAGTCAAGTGCCTTGCCACACAGTGACTTACGGTACAAGCTACACTTCTGGAGCAAAAAGACCCCCAAATCCAGTAGGTTAAATATGTTTCTTGCCCGTAGGTCTGGAGCTGAGCAGTCCATGGCTGGTGGACTGCCTCCCTCTCCAGCCTGGGCCACTGCACCCAAAGGTGCCGTATCCCATCTAGCGGGAAGGGAAACAGGACATCCAGCACTGTTTCCTCCCCAGCACGTTCCCTCGTTATCCCGAACTCACCTTTTGCTCAGAATATCCCAGCAGTCTCCCTATAGGGCTCCCTGTCCAGGTTTGCTCCCTCCTAGCCTACAGTCATGTCATTTCCCCTGCCTGAAACCTCCAGGGGCTCTCCAGTACCCTGTGCTCAGCCTGCAATCAGGGCTCCTCACCACCCAGCTCAAGTCTCTCTCTAGCTCCACCTCTGCTCTGCTCTTACACTGGAGTTCAGAGGCTTTGGGCCTGATGAATTCCTTCTGCAAAAAGGGTCCCAGTGGGCCATCCCCCAGTTGTCCTGGGGGAACTGTCCATTTCCACTGGACTTTCACATCCCTGTGGCATGGAACTCCGAGTATGCGGTAGCTACTCTCTGGAAGTAACACAGTGTAGTGTCTCAGCCCTCTGGTTCTGCAGAGAGTTGGACCCAAGTCCACTTCTGCGTCTCACAAGGATAACGTAAAACCCTCCAAAATCCCGTGAGGGCTTAGCAAATTATAAGGCACCTAGGACAGAGCCTATACCTAGTAAGCTCTCTTTGATATTGTCTCCGATTATTTCTCTGTACCAGGCACCTCGTGAAGAACTTCCCTTAGAATCTCCGTGGAAGCCCCACAACAACCTTATGGGATAGGTACTATTATCATCTCTCCCCTTTCCAAACCGGGAACTGACCCCCATAGAAGTGACGTCACTTGGCCAAAGTCACACCATAAGAATGTACAGAGGGTGTTCTGGATCCAAATCACCTGCTCCAGAGCATCCTTCACCTCTATCTTATGTTCCCTGTGACCAAGTTTAAAGGAAAATAAATGAATACATAAGCAATTGCCAAGCTGAAGCTAGCCAGTGCTTGAAACTCACACAGGAAAATAAAAGTCCACTGTCCCTGCTTGATGCCTCTGGGGCAGGGACAAGACCTTCCTTCCTGCTTCTGACTTCCTGACTTCCCTGCCCTGGCTTCAGAACACTTGGCCACAGGCTCATCACCCCCAAATCTTTTCTGAGTAGGACTTAGCTTTTTTCCTTATCAACCTCCTTGACCTTCCTCCTGTGGCCTGGGCAGAGGAGGGACAGGGACAGGCCACTTTAATCTGGGGAGATGAAACCTCCTAGCTGCTGGAGGCTTCTTCCTTCTGCCTTCACCTGCCTGTCGGGTGTCTGGGAGAGGCATCAGGACCACAGCCGCCCAGGTCTGGCTGTGTCCACAAATCAGAAGACTGGACTGATCATTTCCCTCTCTGGACCCCATTCTCCTCATCCATAAAAAGGGAGTGAGCAATCCAGCTCTCCTTCTTTCACAAGGTTGCCATGAGACTCAAATAAGATGGTCCCTTCCTTCATCAAGTATTTATTAACTACTATGTGCCAGCAACTGTGCCAGGCACTAAGGACATGGCCATGAACAAGACAGATCAACACTTGCCCTTGGGTACTTATAGTCCAGGGTGGGTAGAAATAGTCAGAAATTCGGTACAAATTAACCAAGCAACCTAAAGTACAATGAATATGAGAGGGTAATATATGGCGCTATTGGAGCAAGGACAGCATCCTTATAGGATGAGGATGAATTAGGTGAAGAGGAAAAGCAGTGTTCCAGGCAGAGGTGACAGCACATCCAAAGGCCCTGGGGCTGGCCCAGGGGAAAGCTTCAGAGCGTTCAGGAAGGGGAAGAAGCCACAGACAGGTCTGGTAGGGACTGAAGTAGGCAGGCCCTTGTGGGCCAGATTGAGAAGAGGACGCAGAAGGTAATGATCTAAACAGCAGGAAGCCAGCGCCACAGTGAAGCCCAGAGCCTGCAGGCTTCCCTGTCCTCCAGTGTGAGCACATAGCCTTGAACAAGTTGTTTCCCCTCTCAGAACTTGGGTTTTCACTCCCAGTGAAATCGAGATCATGATACCTATTTTGCCAAGACATTTGAAGTTTGGAGAAAGCCTATCTACTGTACGTGAAAGACCTGTCCCGGCACAAAAGACCACTCTATAAATGATGTCCACTGTTATTTGCAGTGCAGCCTGTGGGATTTACAGGCTTTCCCATTATTCATTGAACATTTGTCATTCCTGAAACTTACTAGCAGACAAGTAGGGGTGGCCCCAAAGGTTTGTGAGAAGGTTTTAAACTGATAGAAGCCAAGCCATGCCTTTGTTCTTTCTTGTCATTTGAGAAAGGACCCCAGGGTTACACAGGAACCTAGTTTGAGAACAATAAACCAACAGAAGGGTAAAGGAGCATCTAACAAACCTGACATCTGTGTGATAGGCTCTGATGAGTATAACAGAAATCAAGGAGTATAGAACATATTAGCCCAACTGGAAGTGACAACAGGAAAATGGGTACATAGGGGTAAATTCATACGTGGAAGGGAATATTTACTGGGATAGGCACTAGGGCAGCTTTTAGGATATGAGGACTGTTTGTTTCTTGACCCACGTGAGGGTCACACACACATGTTCAGTTTGTGAGAATTCACCAGGCTGTACCTTCGTGTGTGCATTTTTGTCTATGTATGTTTCTCTATATGTACATAGGTAGGTCAGGAGGGGAGATTATATATGCACAAGTACAGTATAAACACAAAGTTATTTGGGGAGAAAATAAGAGTTTAGAGAAGAATTTGGCAATAGCTAACAAAATTACTTATGCATTTACCCTTTGACACAGTAATCTCCACTTCTAGGAATCTGTCCTAAATATACATAATATATGCACAAAGTTATTCATTCATTGCAGCTTCATTTGTATTAACAAAAGATGGGAATCAACCCAAATGAATAAACTATGGTACACAGTTTAGGTATTTCTGCATATCAAACTATACCATCTCGGTGGCAGAAAAACGACAGCCACGGACTTTATTTTGTTCACAAATTCTATAGATTAGGAATTCAGACAAGGCATTGCAGGGAGGGCGTGTCTCAATGCCATGACGGCTGGGCTTCAGCTGGAAGGCCCAGATGGATGGAGGTGGGATGAGGTTAAGGGAATGCTGGGAGATGTGGGAATGGAGTCATCTGGAGGCTTTGTTCCTATCACCTGGGCTGGGATGACTCCCAGGTGGAGCTTGGGGAGGACTGCTAACAGGAGCATCCACACGGGCCCTTTTGCCTATGGCTTCCTCATACCATGATGGCTGGATCTGAGAGGAAGCATTTTATCAGCAAACATTCCCGACAGGACCAGAAATCTGGTTTGTAGGGCTCAGTGCAAAATGAAAATGGGGAGCCCCTGGTTCAAATGTTAGGAAAATGTACTTCTTCCTTTTCTTCTACAATCTCTCTCTCAACTTGTCATGCTGTTTTTATTTACTATTTTGTGTTGCTCTAAAGAATTGTTTTTTATTTAAATTATTTGCATAAATTTTTACCATTCATCTTTATATTGCAAAATGACAGTTTGAATGCAGATGTGAGAGCATTTAACTCACATGTGGAATCACTGAAATTACAACATTGGGGACAGGTGCCTGGGCGGCTCAGTGGTTGAGTGTCTGCCTTCGGCTCAGCTCATGATCCCAGAGTCCTGGGATCGAGTTCCGCATCAGGCTCCCCTCTAGGACCCTGCTTCTCCCTCTGCCTATGTCTCTGCCTCTCTCTGTGTCTCTCATGAATAAATAAATAAAATCTTAAAAAAAAAAAAAGAAATTACAACGTTGGTATTTCAGAGCTCATGTGCATGTATGGTATATTTCATTCTTACCAGGACTGTGGAAATGCTGCACCAAACCGAGGGATCACTTTTATTTCACTTCTTGATATGCACACCTTCTACCAATATTCTCTACCCCCTGCTTATCATGAGTAAGGAAGGCTGAAGGGACAGGGAACTCGGGATGACCTGTCCTCCCCTTCCTTTCTGGGTCATCATTCTCAGTGCAGGTGGTAGACCAGCCAATACACAGAAGTAACATGGATAAGAAAGGATACGATCAAGTTCCTGGATTGTCTGTGTTTTCCTGGAACGCCAGTGCCTTTTTTCTGTGGCCAAAGGCACTTCTGGTTGAAATAGAAAGCACAGCCTCTTCGGGCTGTGCCCATAGTTACTCAATCATAGACTTCACACGCTTACCTTGACCCACTTGGAGAACTACCAAATGACCATGTGCTGTGAGCTTACTGGAATTCTATGCTCATGGGACATTGTAAACACTATATCTGAGCAGTGGACACTCTTAGTGCATGTTCTGCTCACACGCATGATCCATTGTCCCCCTGGACTACACTTTCAATACATGAGCTCAAAGAGAAAATTAAGAATTCTAAGATGTGACAGCAGAGCATTAAAACAATTAAAAATTTTTAATTGTTTTAATGCTCTGCTGAGCCCTGGGACCCTACATACAAGGTCAGTGTGTTATGGAAGCCACATAGCAGGCATTGCAGACCCATATTCAAAAGGAGTGCAGGGAACTAGCGTACATATACCCTCTTGCATAGACACTCGCTCCATTGTCCCATCAGACTTCACTTAAAAAACACAAGTGCAAAGATATACTCATTAGGAATTTCAAGACTGCAGCAGAGCATGAAAACAAGTGAATGGCCCTTCTGAACACAAGGCTCTATGCCACTAAATAGGTCATACGACCACAAAGTCCGTCCTGGTTCCTAAGCCAAATGAACAGAAGATACATGGCCTTTTATGACCTAGATGCTAAATCACATTTTAAAAGCATCACTTCCACCTATTCTACTGGCCAAAGCACTCAGATGAGCCCCAGTCCAGATCTGGGGAGTAGGAGGTCCTAGACCCCACCTCTCAATGGGAAGAGTATCAAGGAATATACAACCTTTTAACTACACACACACACACACACACACACCCTACATTGGGTGGTAATGTGCCCATAAAAAGTCACACTTCTCAGACTTCTTTGATATTAAAGTAAGACATATGACTGAGGGATACCTGAGTGGCTCAGGGGTTTAAGCATCTGCCTTTGGCTCAGCATGTGATCCTGAAGTCCCAGGATCAAGTCCCACATCGGGCTCTCTGCACGGAGCCTGCTTCTCCCTCTGCCTGTGTCTCTGCCTCTCTTTCTCTGTGTGTGTGTCTCTCATGAATAAATAAATAAATAAAATCTTAAAAAAAAAAGACATGTGACTGGTATCTGGGCAATTATATGTAAGAAGAGATGTCAAGTCAGGAAAATAAGAAAGCTGACTCACTGGAGGTGGACCCTTTGCCCTCCCTCTTTTCTTTTACCTGAGGTGCAGGTGTGATGGCTGGCACACCAGCAGCCTGGACCATGAGGTGAGCTGATAGACTAAAGCCACAAACTGGGCTGGAGGCAGAATGATGGAAGGAGCATGGAAACTTTGCAGAGCTGCCTCACCAGCCCTGTGAGAAACAGATTTTTATCTTCTTTAAGCTAGTGCTGTTTGGGGATTAAAATCTTAAGCAATACACATTTTTTTCCCCAGACAATGTGGGAAGATGTGAGATCTCAAGAAAGGCATCCAGAATGCTGCCTGGTGCTAACTCCACTGTGATTCTTCTACAAGAAAGGATTTTTAGAGAATGAATTTGTTTGTAATGACCATTCTGGACTTGCATCTTGGCTGATGGGATCTTCTCAGAACTCAAATAAAATCAGGTTATTCGCATGCTCAAAATCCTTCCATGGCTGCCCATGGCCACTAGACTCCAGAGTAAAGAAGAAAACTGAGCAGAGAGGTGAGGAGCATCTGACACCTTGCTACCTTTCCGGCCTCATCTCCCATGTTGCTTAATGCTGTTGGCATTTTGCTTTCCAAGATGAGCCTGCCTGTGCATGAGGACAAGAGAAATGCAGGGTCTGGGGATGATGTCAGTGTCTTGAACCAGCCCCCCCGCCCCTCACCGCCACGGAAGCCAGCATCACTGCAGGCTTTTCAGCTCCTTGAATCAATGGAAGGTCTGGTTTTGCTCAAGCAATTCTGAGTTGGGTTTCTATTACCTGCAGAGTAAAGAAACCCAAATGGCACAAGAGCCCAGCTGTGAAGGGTTTCAGAAGTCAGCAGAGGATGTCGGGTGTCTGTTGTGGTCCTCCCCGGTCTTCACAACTAAGCCATGCTGTGGTGACCTGCCCTGAACAATTGTTCTCATCTTTTCTGAGATGAGAAATCACAAACAGGGGCACCTGGGTGGCTTAGTCAGTTAAGTGTCAACTCTTGGTTTCGTCCCAGGTCATGATCTCAGGGTCATAAGATAGAGCCCTGAGTCAGGCTCATGGCTCAGCAGGGAGTCTGCTTGGGGTTTTCTCTCTCCCTTTCCCTCTGCCCCTCTGTCCCTCCCTTACACTCGCCCACTCTCTCTCTCTCTCTCCCCCAAATAAATAAATAAATCTTTTAAAAAAAATCACAAATAAGAACTTCCAGAGCCCCTGCTATGAGACACATCGTCCTCTAACTCACACATGTGGAAACATTTATGGGTGATGCACATGCTCATTACTTTGACCGTGGGGGTGGTTTCACAGGTGCACACATATGGTAAAACTTAACAAATGATTCACTTCAAATATGTGCGGTTTATCACATGTCAATTTAACTTCAATAAAGCTATTTAAAAGAACAAAAGTTACCGAATTAGACATTAGAGACAAGATACAGCTTTGTCTTCATGCCCAAAGTTCCTCAGACATATGTCCACCAGACATGGAGGCTACTACCATTTAGAATTGAGAAAACACAATATTTCATTTAGTCCTCACAGCCCAGCGTGTAATTGTCCCTGTTCTTTAAAGATTTTATTTATTTGAGGGGGGAGCAGAGGGAGAGGGACAGACTCCTTGCTGAGTGCAGACCCTGATGTGGGGCTTGATCTCAGGACCCCAAGATCATGACCAGAAGTGAAACCAGAGTCACATGCTTAACTAATTGAGCCACCCAGGTGCCCTGGTCTCTGTTCTTTATATTTATTTATTTATTTTAGATTTTATTTATTTATTCATGAGAGACACACACACAGAGAGAGAGGCAGAGACACAGGCAGAGGGAGAAGCAGGCCCCATGCAGGGAGCCTGACATGGGACTTGATACCGAGTCTCCAGGATCACATCCTGGGCTGAAGGCAGCGCTAAACCACTGAACCACCTGGGCTGACCTCCCTGTTCTTTAAATGAGAAAATGAGATAAAATGACTTGCTGTAATTTTTCCATTCTCCCCTGATGCCTTATAAAGCACCTCACAGAACTGTAATACCTGATCCAATGTGGCAGAGGTATGAGAATTAGCAAATAATGACCACAAATAGTCCATGTGGCATATAAGTACTATTTTTACTGATGTCAGTTAAGCTTGAGGAAGAAAAGAACTAACCAGAGTTGCTATCAAAGGGATGCTTCTGGGCAACCCCTTTCCCAGGGGTCATGGAGTAGGAGGAGCCTTCAGTTCTCTGACTGGGATGGCCCACATCCAAAGGCCTTTCTGAGGACTCACTGCCTTCAGGCTAGGGACCCCAGCGCCCCTGTGTGGGTGGCAGGTTTTACTAGGTTCCTGTGATGTTATGGTTTATAATAAGAAACATATAGATTTGCTCTTCATCTCCATTTCAGGCACACAGTTCCTAAATGCTTGGAATTTCCTGAACAATAAGAGCCATGAGAGTATCTTCTGTTATATTTGGTCGGTTTTCATTGGTTCCTGAAAATGCTCTCCAGCCCTGTTGGTGAAAGGAATTTCTCTTTACTCACCTGTTTGTTAATGAGGTGACTCTCTCGGAAAGCCCCAAGGCTGGGAGCTGGTTGCCAGGGGAACCAAAGCCAACCCGACTTTCAGGCCCCACCTCCAAGCAGTGGGCAGTGGTGGGAGCTGGGGGTGGAATCCTTGGCCAATAGCCAATGATTTCATCAATCGTGCTTATGTAATAAAGCCTCTATGAAAAAGCTCAAAGGGGGTGGCCCGGGTGGCTCAGCGGTTTAGCGCCGCCTTCAGCCCAGAGCATGATCTTGGAGACCGGAGACAGGAGATCGAGTCCCACATCAGGCTCCCAGCATGGAGCCTGCTTGTGTGTCTGCCTCTCTCTGTGTCTCCCATGAATAAATAAATAAGATATATATATATATATATATATATATATATATATATATATATATATAAAGGACAGGGTTTGGAGAGCTGAGGGGTTGGTGAACACATGGAGGAACAGGTTGTGTGGCACGCCCCAGGGAACATGGAGGTCCGCACCCATCCCACATACTCTGGCATCTTTTCCAGGTTCCTGCCTGTATCCCTTTATAACACACAGGTAATCTAGTAAGTAAACCGTTTCCCTGAGTTCTGTGAGCTGCTCTAGCCAATTAGTCAAACCTGAAGAGGGAGCCTTGGGAACCTCTGTTTTATAGCCGGTTTTCAGAAGCATGTCGAGCTTGAAGCAAGTGAAAGGAGAGTGGTCCTGTGTGTCAGAATGGACTTCAGTTGTGGGACACCCAGCTGGTGTCGCAGAAGCTCTTGATGCCTGGAAAACCCTCAGAAGTTCTCGATGCCTGGAAAACCCGCACGTCTGGGCTCAGAAGGGAAGTGGTGTTGCAGTGCAGTGCTGAGAGCCCAGGGGCCTCACACGAGTGTGGCTTTCCTTTCCAGCTCCCCACAGCACCCCCACCCAGGCAGCCTGGC